TTTAGGGAAAAGTAGTGAACTCAGAGAAAACTTCAACAAAAAATAGGAAACGTAAATATGGAGATAGAAAACATAAATAAAGGATTAACCAGAAATGAAGATCCTACATTAGAAGAAATCAATAGGAGATGAAGCAGAGGATCAAATCAGAGATTTGAAGGATAAGGAAGCAGAAAACACCCAATCAGAACAGCAAAAAGAAAAAAGAATAAAAAAAAATGAGGATAATTTAATGGGTCTCTAGCACAACATCAAACATACCAACATTTTCATAATAGGGATATGAGGAGAAGAGGGAAAACAAAGAATTGAAAACCTGCTTGAAGAAATGATGGAAAACTGCTCTATCCTGGAGAAAGAAATAGACATATGAGCCCAGGGAGCACAGAGACCCAAATAAGAAAAACCCAAAGAGGCCCACACAAGACATATCATAATTAAAATGCCAAGGCTTAAAGACAGAGAACATCTTAAAAACAAGAGAAAAGCAGCTAGGGAGTTCCCATAAGACTGTCAGCTGATTCCTCAACAGAAATTTTTTAGGCTAGAAGGGATATTAGCATGAAATATTAAAAATGATGCAAAGGAAGGACCAACAAAGAAGGCTATCACTTAGAATTGAAGGCAAGATAGAGCTTTTCAGACAAGAAAAAGTCAAAGGAGTTCATTACCACCAAACCAATGTTAAAGGGACTTTAAGAAGGAGAAAAAAGATAAAAAATATGAATAAGAAAATGGCAATAAGTACATATCTGTTGGTAATTATCTATACTAAGAAAATGGTAATATGCTAATTAGACCAGGAGACCTTTCAAACAAAGCCATGGTGGCAGGGCCAAGGCAGAGGTGGTTAGGGGTGATCAGGCCAGGAGGGAGGGCAGTAGGGGGTGATCAGGCCATCAGAGGGGCCGTTGGGCACAAGCAGGCTGGCAGTGGGGAGCAAGAAGTTCAACAGGGGGGGCAGTTGGGGGTGGGCAGGTCAGGAGGGGGCAGCAGTTGGGGGCAATCAAGCCAGCAAGGGGGGGGGCAGTTAGGGGCGATTATGCTGGCGGGGGGGGGGGGGGCAGTTGGAGGTGATCAGGCTGGCAGGGGGCTCAGGTGGGGGTGAGCAGGCCGGCAAGGGGGGGTCAGTTGGGGGCAATCAGGCTGGCAGGCAGAGTGGTTAGGGGTGATCAGGCAGGCAGGCAAGTGAGAGGTTAGGAACCAGAGGTCCAGGATTGTGAGAGGGATGTCTGACAGACATTCACTGAGGGGTCCCAGATTGGAGAGGGTACAGGTCAGGCTGAAGGACACCACTTTCCCCCATGCACAAATTTTGTGCACCAGGCCACTAGTATTAAATATAAATGTATTAAATGCTCTAGTCAAAGGATAGGATAGCTGAATGGCTAAGAAAATAAGATGTATACATATGCTATTTACAAGACCTGTACAGAATTAAAATAAAATATATTTAGGAAATCTTAAAAAGCTAAAGTAACAATACTTCTATCAGACAAAATTGCCTTTAAAACAAAGTCTGTAATAAGAGACAAAGGAGGACCTAGAATTTCACTTCTGGGTATTTATCCAAAGAAACCCAACATGCTAATTAAAAAAGACATAATACATCCCTATGTTCATTACAGTATTCTTTACTATTGTCATGATGTGGAAGCAGCCCAAGTATCCATAAATTGACAAATAGGTAAAGAGGAAGTTTTACATATATACAATGGAATACTAGTATTACTCAGCCAAAGTATGAAATCTTGACATCTGCAGCAACATGATTACACATAGAGGACATTATGCTAAGTTAAATGAGTCAGACAGAGAACAACAGATGGCATGTGATTTCACTTATATGTGGAATCTAAAACATAAACCAACTAACAAAAACACTCATGAGTACACAGAATACTTTGGGGGTTGCTAGATGGGAAGGGATTTCAGGGATAGATGTAAAAGGGAAAGAGATTAAGATGTGGAAATTACCAGTTATAAAAACAGTAACTAGGATATAAGGTACAGAATAGCGAATCCTATACAATAAAAGCCTAATAGCTAAGTATCTGGTCATTCAGTCAGTCGTTCAACCAATCAAATTGTAATATGCTAAGGCTGCTCAACTGCTCTGACCACCAGGGGGCAGACTCTCCTACCAGTAGGTTAGCTTGTTGCTGGGGATCCAGCCAATCAGGACTGAGCAAGATGACCGGATACCACCTGGTGCCTTCCTGTGGTCCCTCCCCAGCTGGCCAACCTCACTTATCTCTCCCCAGCCCCAGTTGTGCACCAGTGAGAGCACTGGGCCTGGCCTTCACCTTCTTGCAATCTGGGATCCCTTGAGGAATGTTGGAGAGCTGGTTACAGCCTGAGGGCAGAATGACAGTACTATGATGTGCACTGACCACCAGGGGTGCTCTGCTCTGCCTGAAGCATATTTTTCTTGAAAATGTTTTCAAGAAAATAATTTATGACTTTTTCCCTCTAAAATAGGAATTTTATATTGTGTGAAATATATAAAGGGCTGTAAAGAAGAATACTTGGTTTTTGTTTTATTTAATTTAAATAAATTTATTTAATTTAAATATTTTATTTAAATGCATAGTGATGCACATTTTATAGTTTGATAAATATTGCAAAGTTATCCTACTTTGAGGTGGTACAATCTATATTCTCAGAAGCTATGTATGTGTGCTGTTTTTCTCACATTCTTGCCATTGTGGTTTGTCATTAAATGTTTTCATCTTTGTCAGTACTACTTCTGAGAAATGATAACCTAATGTAGATTATTATATTTCTTTAATTAGACCAAGATAGAGTATCTTTTCATATACTGAAAAGCCACTTATATTTCCTTTCCCATAATCTTTCCATTCTTACCTATTGTCTGTTTGTTTGTTTATTAGTTTTGGGGGTTTTTTTCTTATTGATTTGTAGAACAGTTTTATATGTTATCTTTTTTCCCACATTGATAATGGTGTGTTTTTACTATGAGCACCATCTTTACTTTCTAATAGTGCTCATTATAGAATTGCTCCATCTTGTTGTAAGTCAAAATCCTAAGTCCTATCTCAGTGACATCATTGATGAGTTCTCTTCAATTTTCTGGTGCTTATCATTGTACTCCTAAGCTGTGTCATCTTAACACATCTATCTGTAAATGTGTTTGTATATCTGACATAAGAATATTTTGAGGGGAACACAATGGGGAAGGGTTTAGATACAATCATTGATCCCAAATTTTGATTGTAGACTAGTATTAAAATGAAAATAATTTATGACTTTTTCCTCTAAAATGTGAAAAACAAAATCAGTACTTTAATACATAGATGTGTGCCCTGGCCAGTGTGGCTTGGTTGGTTGATTGCATAGATGTGTGTAATCCCTGATCATTGTGCATGTGGTCTCTCTCCCTCCCTTCCTCTCTATAAATCTTATTAAAAAAATGTATTCTCGGTGAGGATTTTTTTTTTTAATTGTAATGAGAGAATGTAGTATTCCTTGCCTGTTTTTGGAAAATAACTAAGAAAATAGGAGCTTTGTGACATACTTTTGATAGGGTGGTCAGTGAAGACCTTTCTGAGGGGTTTGCATTAGGCGGAGAAACAGGTGTTGAAAGAAGTCAGCCATGGAGAAGCTGGAGAAGGACATTCTGTGCATTGAGGAAATGTGGAATGGCATCTTTGAGTAGCAGAAAGGAGGCATTATAGCTGGAGCTTAGTAAATTGGGGTAGAGAGGTAAAGAGACAGTGCAAGGGCTTTGGACCTTGCATTGAGAAATGATCAAGACTATTATGCAAAGGAGTAACATTATGCTTGCTAAGACTACTTATGCTTCTAGATAGAGGAGGAGGGGGGTAAGAAAAGAAACAGGGACAGTAATTAAGAGGCCATGGCCAGAGCCATACCAGAAGTTAGGATGGTGGTAAACTAGATGGAGAAGAATTCTTAAATTCTAGGTATGGTTTAAAAGTAGAATCAGCCCAGCAAGGCTCAGTGGTTGAGTATTGATCTATCAACCAGGAGGTCAGGGTTCAATTTCCTGTCAGAATATCAGCCTAGGTTTCGGGCTCAATATCCTAGGAGGCATGCAGGAGGCAGCTGATTAATGATTCTCTCTCATCATTGATATTTCTATCTCTCATCATTGATATTTCTATCCCTCTCCTTTCTCTCTGAAATCAATAATTTTTTTTTTAAACCAATAAAGGTAGAATCAGCTGGATTTGATCTGTTGGGTGTTAGGGATAATGGAAAGAAAAAAATACAGATTTTCACAGCCAGTTGTTACTAAAATCTAAGTACTCTTCATGGAATCAAGTATGGGATGTAAGGATTATAAATAATGATACATAAACTTATATTTGTGTGTTGCTTTGAAAATACTGCCACATTATAACTTCATTTTTGGTTTTTTAATTTTTTTAAATTGAAACTTGTTGGCAGTTCAGATATTTTCTGAGTTCAGTTCATTTTTCTAAAATAGGTCTTAACTAGCATTCAGAAGTATTGAGACTACTTAAAATTCTCACACACAAAAAGCAGTCCTTCCAAAAACTAAACATCATCCTTTTCAAAATTAGTGTGTGTGGGGGTTTTTTGGGGGGGATGGTATAATTTATTTTTTAAGGAATGGGGTAAAAGTTACAAAATTTTTCATAATTTTTTAAATGTTCCAGACTATTACATAATACAGTTAAATGAACAGAATTCATATTAGTCGCAGTGATTATTAAACATTTTTACTTTTGGAATAGAGGTTATTACACATGGTATAATTTGATGTAAAGTTAAAATAAAAATCTTAAAGCTACCAACTATATATATATTCAGTAGTTTCTAGCATAATTTAGTTAAATATGCTATGATAACCTATAAATTAATGACTTTTCCCCTGCGAGGCCTTTTCAGAAATTCAGTTTTTAGCATTAATCTTTAAGTAGAACAGATTTGCATGAATCATTGTATTAGTTCCTCAAAGAAAAATGAAATCAATCTTATTTATTTTTCAGAGGTGGCTGGATCCAAACAAACCAATAAGAAAGCAGCTAAAGAGTGAGCATACATGTTTACTTCATATTTTTAAGTGTACTTTATAAAGATGCAGGATTAAAATAATCTGATTAATTAGAACTGCTTTTATTAATTCTAGGAGGATCTCCTTACAATTTGAATTTCAGAGTCAAATTTTTTGTAAGTGACCCCAACAAGTTACAAGAAGAATATACAAGGTGAGTTTATGAAGCATATTTTTCTTGAAAATATTTTCAAAACTGTTATGAAATTTTGAAATTAATTAGGCAAAAACAGATTGTCATGCCATAATTCTGAGTTTACTGGCAGCACACAGAATAGATCATGTTTTAAGAAAATAGTTTACTTCCTTGCTTGATGACAAGGAATGCTTTAGGAGACTGGAACCCCAGGGCTACCCCATCCAGCCACAAGCAGCCTCCTGAGCTACATAATAATATGATTTTCCAGTGAAAACTGGTCAAGCAGTTCTGCTGTTACTAATTGAAATAATCAGATGTTGCTTCAATTTAAGTGGTGCTATATATTGAGAATTGTGCCTGCTTTTTCCTCCCTATAAAAATACTTAAACCTTGAAAACATGGAGGTTAGGCACATCGACCACCTTTTCAGTAAAAATCTCCATATAATTCAAGTTGTCCTCCATATTAGCTGATTCTCAACTGCAGATTGAAAATACAAGAATGGCCCATATGGGTATTTTGATAGTATATGAAGGTTAGGTAACTGTTTAAGGTATAAATAGTGGGGAATAATCACAGTGTGGTAACTGTCATTATTAAAATAACCTGAAGAACCCTGGTCAGTGTGGCTTGGTTGGGTGTGGCCCTATGTATTGAAAAGTCACCAGTTCCATTTCTGGTCAGCGCACATGCTTGGGTTGCTGACTTCATCCTTGGTAGAGGGTGTGGAGGACGCAGCCAATCAATGTTCCACTCTCACATTGATGTTTCTATCTTTCCCTTCCTTCCTCTTTCTAAAAAATCAATTTTAAAAATCTTTAACCTGAAGGATAATCATGTGTGTTGCTTAAAAGATGATTAGTAATTTGTTAGCAAAACAAGACAATAAAATTAGCCTATTATTAATATACCTTCCATAAAAGTTCCAGATGTAAGAATATAGGTTAGTGACTATGTTACAATTTTTCTAAGAGACAGGTGACAAATTTAAAATCTGTACCTAAGCTACCTGTAGATGTTAATGTATTGGTTATCCTTTAGAATTCAGAGGTGAAGTAGAAAAACAAAAGAATAAATTAAACACATTTCCCTGCCAATCCTCAGGTGTTGCTGCAGTAGGGCTTTCAGTAGATAAAGTGAGAAAAGTTAGATTCATATCTATTAGAGTTCTTATCTGTGTGTTTATTGTAGGGGGAGTGGGGACAGTGGGTTACCTTTTTTATAACAGGAGAACTCAAGAATATATGCTCTGGATTAGGTAGTTCAGACTAATAGTATCCAAGCTAATTTCTCTTGAAAACCAAATTGTGTTATATGAATACCCTTTAGTTTAATACTATTTGCTGTTAGGTTTTGTTGTTGTTAATTAAAATAACAAGATGTTTTGTATAGTAAAACCTGTTCTTGGATGAACTTAAAGGAAGCTACACTGAATTAAAGAAAATTGTGATTTATAAAGTATTTTTAAATGCATTTTATTGTTTCCTGGTGCATATAACTTGAAATCAAGTAGCAAAGTATTCTATAATACAGGGTGTCCCCAAATAATGTATACACACTTTAACAACTGATAGCTCAATTGTATTTCTTTCTATGGAAGCTAGTTCCTCCTTGATCCTTCTCGAGGAGCATAGGTCCTCAGTCACAGGGTATTAAACGGAGAAGACAAGACACATGGTAGGCATATAGGAGAGACTTTATTGTAGACCCAAGTAGCCATTGCTAACAAGGAGCCATCAGACAAAACAGTTCTTCAAAGTAGCCCAACAAAGCAGCCATGCACTGGCTGGTCAGTAACACATCTTTATACTAAACTCGGACAAAAGAGGTTTCTTGCCAAATAGTGACATCAATATTTGGGTTTTAGAAAAGTATGCCTGTGTAGTGTGTACAGTAAAACTGCTGTGTCATTGCCTTTGCACGTGCATATGGCCAATTGGCCTTTAACATCTGGCGTATTCTAATTAGGGTTCCCATGCTTTCTCTTCAGATTTAACCCATTGAAATGAATAATTATTCAAAGTATGCATTTTTTCAGAACATCCTGTATGTTTTAGTAATCAGATTTTTAAATGTATTATATTTGTAATTAAAAGATCAATAAGTTTAAATTGGATTTCTAATATATTTGACGTTTATGGAGTTCATTAGCATAAGCAATTAAAATATTGTCAATTACTGCTATATTCATAATTTACTCAAAAAACTGTCATTGACTTAACAAAATTTTAATGTGTTGATTTTTTTATAGCTTGTGTTGAAGACAATCAAAGAATAAATGTGTCTCACTGATAATTAAGTCAAAACATATTCCTGAAGTAGAAGAAAATAAAATCAAATTTTACAGTAATTGAGGAAGTATTTACTCAGTCCATCAGTCTAGAAAATTATCTTTGTGTAACTTAGAAATAATACATTATTTTAAAAATCCTTTATAATGGATTTATAACTGGCACTATTTGGTAAAATGGGCTAAGTGGCTAGTTTTTATTTTATTATCATAGTGTACTTTGTACATCAATGAATCTCTATCCTGATTACAAATTAGAATCACTTAGGGTAGCTCTTGCTTTGGCCACACCTCCTGGGTACTCTGATTTAATAGGTTTCCATTCTTGTACATAAGCATTACAAGCTTCCCAGGTGACTCAATTATGCTACCAGGTTTAAGAAATACTCCTTTAAAACTTTACTGCTTAGGTAGCTTTAATGCGATGGTCCAGAATTAGTAATAAGTCACCCTTGACCACAGTTGCTAATTGTAAGGACTAGTATAAGCCCCACAAAACAGGAAATCAGCTATACCTCCTTACTTTGGGATTCCACTTTAGGTTATTGGTAAAAAAAAAAAAAAAAAAAAAAAAAAAAAAGAATGGGCTTATAGAGCTTCCAAATGAAACATCATTTACTATTGCTGGCATAATTGGAATTGGAGTTTTCTCAGGAGTCAAGGGATTACAAATGACATCACTTTTCATACCTTTTTAGAGCATGATAAGTGTTTAACTCATGGTATTCATTATTGTCTGGATTAGAAAAGTTAACGTTATTTTTACAGCTTGTAAAGGTGATTATATTTACCTCAATTATTATTAATCTATTTTAAAGGTCTTGATTGTCTTTCAAAATTAGGCTTGTATTTTCTGTTTAGGGCTCCTGAGATACATATACTAGGCTGTGATTCTACTTTCTTTTTACAAATAGAGAAACAAGACCCAGCCATATTTTAAGTAACTTGCCAAAGGTTATAGGCTAGCTTACTTTAGGACTTATAGCTTAGATTTAGCTTATTCTGGTTTCCATTCTGTCAGTCTTTAATGATTAATATGTAAATAAAATTCAGCAAGCACATACGTATTATTTGTGTAGTATTCATAATATTATGCCACGGATATACGTGACCTTTCTGTCCTAACTAAGATTGTTTCCACCAGGAACCTTTAACTTTTTTTTTTATCCTCATCTGAGGATATGTTCCCATTGAATTTTTAGAGAATGTGGAAGGGAGGGAAGAGAGGGAAGGAAAAAAGGGAGAAGAAAGAAAGCATTGATTGGTTGCCTCCTGCTCTTTCCCCAATTGAACCTGCAACTGAGGTATTGCCCTTGACCAAAGATTGAACTCAGGGCTGACATTCTAACCACTGAGCAACCAGCCAGGACCAAGGACTTTTAACTTTTAATTATGAAACTAAGTTGCTGATTAGAAATATGTTGTCTTAGATTGAGTAAGCAATACTATTTATAATATTATGTATTAAGCCTCAGAGAATTAATATATGAAGCCAAGATATTTGTGTCAGCTCTTTTTAAAAAAAATTACTATCAATATCTGATTCTGTGTAACCTTAATTACATTTTTTGGTAATTTGAATGGTCATGGAGCTCTTCAATGACTTTAATCAAACAACTAACATTTTTAATAATTTTTAACTCTTGGAGTATGTATCCTCTTTTTAGTGAGGTGAAGTAAAAGTCTGTAAATTTCTTAAACATTTATAGCCACAAATTTTGGTCTTCTACCAACATTATACTGCACAGGTGGTTTTGCCCAAACATTGATACATCTGTCAGGGAATGACTTCACCCACTAGCAAGGACAGGACATTTTGTAAGCAACCCTAGTATTCTTGTTATAGGATACTTACACTTTTTTTGTGTGTTTGTTTGTTTTTTTTAAGGAAATTTGGTGCCTGGCAATTCTAATATTAGATCAATTGTAGGTAAAGGAAGTTATGTAGGTTTTTTGTTTTTGTTTTTTAACCAAAGAAAGCATTCTTAACTCATATGAAGAGGGAAAGGTGCTTTTCTGCAACCAGTAGCTTCTTGCTGTCATAAGACAAATCAGCACATGGGCCTGTTCTTGCAGTTGGCTTCCCATCTCAGCAGAAAGAATGATTTTCTTCTACTGGTGGCTATTGCATTGTTCCTGTCAGCTCTCCTATGTCTGCTGTAGCTTTCTGTATACACCAATCCTTATAGTATTTCTCTCTAATATCCTCCCTAGGGCATGTAATGCTTAGCAAGCATTAGGGGTTTTATAACTGATGTAGTGGAAACAAGACTGTTGCAGTACAAAATTTCATTTATCAAAGAATTTTAAAACTTGGATTCTTGAATTTATGAAAGCTTATTTTTAAAATATCTTGTGTTAATATATTTATTATAGAAGTAAATACTTAAATTTTTATTTGTTAATATAGATATGCAGTTTTTAATATCGAAATGCTATAATTTCAGTAAATGCTAACTATCTTTTTTTTTTTTTTTTTTTTTTTTTTTAAGGTACCAGTATTTTTTGCAAATTAAACAAGACATCCTTACTGGAAGGTGGGCTATTATATATTTTTGTAATAGATTTAAGAATACTCTTAGTTCTATAGTAAGTAATTCATGAGCTTTGCAAACTATTGAAAAATGATTATATATAATATGAATTCCTTTGATCAAATAAGTTCATTATGTAGTAGTTGAAATATAAATCACATGGAAATTTCAAGTGTCACTAGTATGTTATAAATTATAGTGCTTTTGAAATCATTGTGTTTAACTTTGGGCTATGTATTTTCTGTTTTGTTTTATTAGATTGCCCTGTCCTTATAATACTGCTGCCCTTTTGGCTTCATTTGCTGTTCAGTGTAAGTATCAGCCCAGGTTTTTAGTTCTTATTGATTTTTCCAGATGGAGGAAGGGGGGAGAGAGAGAGACATTGATCAGTTGCCTCCCATACACACCACAATTGGGGATGGAACCCACAACCCAAGCATGTGCCCGTATTGAGAATCAAACCCTATGACCTTTAGGTGCTCTGGACAAAGCTCTGACTAATATAGCCACACCAGGTAGGCCCAGCAACTTTTGAGACAAATAGCATATAATTACACTAGAGGCACAGTGCATGAATTTGTGCACGGGTGATGTCCAATCAGCCCACTCTGATGGGAACCAATCAGGGTGGGGACGGCCTGGCGAGGGGCCACAATTGTTCCAATCTTTCTGCCATTCAGTCCCTGCGCTTTTATTATATAGGATTAGTCAGCTCAGACAGCCATAACAAAATATCATAAATTTGTGTGGCTGAAACAACAGAAATTTATTTTCCTCACAATTCTGGAGGCTGGAATTTGGGGTTAGGGTACCAGCATAGCATCATCCCATACACCAGAAAGTGGTGGATCGATTGCCAGTCAGGGCACATGCCCAGATTGCAGATTCAATACCTAGTCCAGTGAGTGCAGGAAACAATGGGACAATGTTTCTCTCTCCATTCTTCTCTCTGAGATCAATTAAAATGAATGATAAATAATGTTCTATAAGTATGGTTTTAACAAGAAAGACATTAGTGATCTATGAAGTGAAAAATTCGTTATAACATATATATACAGCATGACCCCATTTTTCAAAAGTATATTTATTGATTTCAGAGGAAGGGAGAGGGTGAGATAGAAACATCCTACCTAATAATAGAGTAATATGCAAATCAACCATCACTCTGCTATACCCACCAGCCAATCAGAGCAAGATGCAAATTAACCCATCAAATAGGTGGTTAATTTGTATTAGTGGAGGGAGGGAGGAGTGAAGACTGAGGACAGCATAGAAGGGAAAATGGAAAGCAAAGTGGCTGCAGTGTACTGTGGGTTGGGCGTGCGGGGCAAGGCCCGCAATTGTGGCAGTGTGTGCAGCAGCAGAGACAGTGGCAGCAGTGGCCTCGGGCGAAGTGGGATGGGCGGGCACGCCTCACCAGCCCCGCCCCCCCCCCCCCCCCAGTCCTGCCTGTTGTAGCGGGAGAGGTGAGGGGGCTGGAGAGGTGGCGATGGCAGGAGGGAAGCCCACCGGAAGTCTTGCAGGAATATTCCTGCAACAGGTCACTAGTCAATGATAAGAATCATTGACCCGCTGTCTCCTGCATGCCCCCTGCTGGGGATCTAGTCCAAAACCTGAGTGGCAATCATATTGTGACTTCCTTGTTTATAGATTGATGCTCAACCACTGAGCTCCACCACCTGGACCCCATTTTTATCAATACCAAGCACATGAGGTACAGTGGCAAGATCTCACTCCTAGATGAAAGTTTAAAGTTACCCAAATTCCTTTGCAGCTAGGTTTCTGGATATGAATTTTTTCTGCTGATTGAATACATTTGCACAATATTTTGAAGGCAGAAATGAGGCAGAGGCATCTTCCCTCAGTTTGGGCTATTTGCTGCTGGTGTCATGTTTGCAAAGAGGTGGAGGTTTTCTGCAGCGGAATCCAGGCTGTGCACAGGCAGTTGTGGCAAGGCAGTGCCCAGTGACCTGTTTTTAGGAACTGGGGAGCACTTGCGGGGGCAGCAGTTTCCTGATCCCTAGGTCACAGCTGCACAAGAGTGTTCTAGAATTCAGCTGTGGCTGAGGGGCAGCTCTGGGCAGGGAGTCTTTCATGGGGCCCAGCTAATACCTACTCTGATGATTTCCCAAGCACCAATTCCCTGTGCTAAATTCTTTCCTGCCTAAAATAGCAAAGATCTACAAACATTTTGGATCCTCTACTTTCAACAACAAAAAATGCTGCACTGGGTCAGGTATGAGAAGTGGGTGAGGTGTTGTGGAAGACTCTCTTTGAGTCTCAGCTTCCTCTTCTGTAGAATGGAGACCAAAAATTACCTATTCTTAGTTACTGAAGACTGTGGCAGCTGTGTTTCCCAAAGGTGGCCAAAACATTTCCCAACCCTCCTGTGGCCTTGCCACTTTCCGCCACATCCTCTCTTTTGAAGCAGTGCTAACCTGTGACGCGCTGGTAGCCAGTATACTGGTTATCTGGTTACCTGAGAATTCCAAGGCCAAGACTGAAAAGGCGTGGAGCTATAGCCTTGCCCACTCCACCAGGGTTTCTAGCTCTGCCCCGCCCACACCTCTTGGGGTTCTGGCTGGTGTAGGGCCTTGCCCTCCTGGCTTGCTTCCCCTCTGGTCAGTGACCCAGCTGGTGTGCTGCTTTGCCCAGCAGGCGGGTTAAGAGCCCAGGTTGGGCCTCACGCCTCCTGGCTCCTGTGTGCCACCTGAGCCCTGCAGCCCCTATTCCTGCCACTGCTAGTCCGGGGTCAGATGCCCGGTGTTGTGTGTAGCCTGTAGGGACTTCTGTGGCCACCAGGAAAGCTTCCCCAATCAATCCCTGACTCTGGTGCCCTGATCCCGGGTCAACTTCCACCGAAGAAGAGCTTTTGCCTGGGCAGCTACCCAAGAGCGAGTACCTCCAAGGTCCCCAGACCCCAAATTTCAGCCAGCCAAGGAGTTTAGCTGGCTAGCCCCACCCTGATCAAGGTGCTGGGGGTGATATGACCCGGAGCAGGCTGGTAGGTTACCGAGTGCATATCACAGACACCAATCATTCTGGTTCTCCTGATCATTCCACTGTAATAGTCGCTAGGTTTTTATATATACAGGCAGTCCTCTTGTTACGTCAGACTCGACATACGTCATTTCGTAGTTATGTCACCATTTCCCATTATAAACAAAAAAGAAGTTTCACTATTTCAACAAATGTACTTATGTGCTTTATGTTTTTTATTTATTTACTACAAGTAAAGGTTAAGAACTGTTATCTTTTAATTTTTTTTTTTTTTTTTACTATTTCACTTCATTACTGCTGTGTGTGTGCTCCATGTGAGTAAAATAGGTACTTATGTAGGTGGGTTCTGACTTAACTCAAAAATCACGTTACGTCACACCATAGGAACAGATCTACGTAACCTGAGGACCTACTGTATAAATTGTCTATATTGATAGTTCATTGCCTTTAATGTGTAAGTTCTTTAGACGTAAGTTGCTGCACAGGAAAAAGTGACTGCAAAGGAAATGTAATGAAACATCCACTTAGTTCACTTCCAGAAAAAAATTCTGAAGTTGTTTGAAATCTTGAAGACTGTTATATGCATTGTAATAACTTGTTTAAATGGTAACAGTAGAAATAGAAATATTTTACTTCCAGAAATATAATGGAATTCATGACTTTGATGATATGACTATAAACAATAAAAATGTGTTTATTAAAGTGAATATTTTTCTTTAATTTATTAGCTGAACTTGGAGACTACAATCAGTCAGAAAACTTGCCAGGCTACCTCTCAGATTATTCTTTCATTCCTAATCAACCTCAAGATTTTGAAAAAGAAATTGCAAAATTACATCAGCAACATACGTAAGGATTTATTTACTTTTCTGCTTATTTGGCAAACTTTTTGGGGGAGTTAATCATCACCCAAGGATATTTTTAGAAAGAATGGAAGGAAGAAGGAGACAGAGAGAAACATCCATGTGAGAGAGAGAGAGAGAGATGTTGATTGCTTGTGTCCCACATATAAGCCCTGACTGGGCCAGGGTTCGAGCCTTTGACTGGATTTGAATTCAAGACACAGTGCTCTAACCACTGAGCAACCACTTACCAACCACTAAGGCGGTAAATTTCTTAATGGCATCTTTTCTAGAGAAATATTTTAAAATTTTTAAATCCAAATTAATAATAATTTGTGTTACTGAAAATGTACCCTCCAGTTAAGTTAGATGCTACTGTACATAACTAAAAAAAGGAGTGGTCATGCATGGTGTTTTGTAAAAGATTTAATTAGGATGTTGAAAAATGTCCAGATAAATAGCCTTTTTTAATTTGGCCATATTTGTGATTGATTTAATTTTTAACCTAATGATGTCTTTTCAGAGGCTTAACTCCTGCAGAAGCAGAATTTAATTACCTGAACACAGCACGTACCTTAGAACTCTATGGAGTTGAATTCCACTATGCAAGGGTAAGTGAAGAAAACTTACTTTGATATTGATGAATTAGGCTCTGTCAACATAGTAATGCCCTAACAGCATTAGGTAACAAATGTAGTAACTAGTAAGTGCTGCCACTATAGTTACACTGGAAATTTCCATTAAGTGTAAGTATTTTCACACTCACTTAAGATTCAATACCTGATGAAAATGGTTGAAGTAGATTTTTCATGTTATTTTTCTTCAAGGAACTGATTTATGTAATCATGATAACTTTTGCAGAGCATAGGAGACAATACCTTTAGAATTTTTATTTTAAAAATAAAGATTAAGTATAGGAAAAGTAATTTTTTAAATATATTTAACTTTCATGATAAGCATTATCATAATAAAAGATGCTTTCACCACACTTACTTTACTTTCATCATTTAGTGACATTAAATATTTTTATTTTTAAAGTACAAATGAAGCATATTAATATATTTTGGCTGGTGCTGTTCATTTGGTTGCGCAGTTGTCAGTTCAATTCCCAGGCAGGGCACATGCCTGGATTGTAGGCTCCATCCCCAGTAGGGGGCATGCAGCAGGCAGATAATGGATGTTTCTCTCTCCCTCCCTGTCACTCTAAAAAGAATACCAATTAAAACATCTTTTTTTAAAAAGGTGGAATTATGATAACTAGCTTTTCCACAGCACTCTTTTTTTAATTGAGTCAAACGTGGCTGCTTCCAAAAGACTATATCTTCTGCCATAAGGATATTTGTGAGTGGCTATTCTTAATACACCTGGATTCCTTCATATATTATCAAGAGGTTATATTCCTTTAGAAGTAATTGGAGTACAGCTATTATCTGTAACCAGTGAAAAGTGGAAATATATGGTAATCATCTGTTAATTTGGTAATAAGATTTTACATTCTCTTGGGACAAATTGCTGAGCCTGATAAGAATAGCAGCCTGAAAGGGAGATGAGTTTTGTTTATTTATTTTGAATTTATTTTAATTTATAGACATACACAGACAAATGATGGTTTGAGAACTCAAAGTTCTATTTCATGTAATGGTTTTATTGTTTAGAGCTTCACCTGATTATGTTCTGAGAGGAGCACTAAGTCTTATATTTCACAAAGCTTATGTCAGTCTCTCCTTTAAAAAAAACAATGACCCCAGTAAGCTTGGCTCAGTGGTTGAGGGTTGACCTATGAACCAAGAGGTAACAGTTCGATTTCTGGTCAAGGCACATGCCTGGGTTTTGGGCTTGACCCTCATTGGGGGGCATACAAGAGGCAACTGGTCAATGATTCTCATCATTGATGTTTTCTTCCCTCCCTCCCTCTCTCCCTCTCTCTCTCTCTCCCTCCCTTTCCCCTTATTACTCCCTGAAATCAATTTTTAAAAATATTTTTTAAAAAACAGAATGATTTGCTTTTCTAACATAACTATATATGATCATCCTTTATGTTTGTGACTTGGAAATCTGTTTGTGTGACGCCATTTAAAATGTGTAAGTCTCTGTCATAGACAGCAAAAGCCCTATTCAGCTCTGGTGCTCTTGAGTTGCTCTGAGTCTATATATTATTCTAAATTCTTCCAACTAGGCTAGGGCATTGCCCACTGTATGAACTGTTGGCAACTTAGTCCAAATTCCTCCTTTATCTTCCATTCACTAGATGCAGTTGTGGGGTCTGAGCACCTCTGCCTAGGGCTGGACCTCCTTGGACACCAAATCTTAGAGAAGTCATGAAAGGTTGTAGATGTATAAGAATGAGTCTTTATTGCAAAAGCCAGTGGCCACAAACCATTAGAGACAAGACAGTCCTTCATAACAGTATCTCAATCAGGCAAGCCATACATGGGCTGGTAAATACATCTTTCCCACATCATTGCACCTCTAATAGTCTCTGTACCCACAGTCATCTGAGCAGTTACACACTACCCCCTAGACTCACTGCCTCATATCATAGTGGTACCTAAGCTCTGCCTCAGCAGCTTCTCCTGTCCTCCCTGCTCAGCGCACTGGACTCTGTAGCCTCACATAGTAACTACCTCCGAGCTTCTCTCCCATCTCCGTCTCTCCAGCACACTTCTTCACACTCCAGCAGCCTAGCTAGTCAGTAACCTGCATGTTACTCCAGAGACAAAGATGGCTAGTTGCCAACAGTGATATCAATCCTTTGGGTACTGGGAGATCACTGTGTCCTTGCACCTGCTTATTCCTTGGGCATTCTAATTAGGATTCTCATGTTCAGAGCGGCCTTGGCATATTGATACCAAGGCCTTTCACATTTTGAGTGCTTTGGCAGTCTGAGGACTCTGGTGTGGTTCCCACAGTCTATCTTAAACTTTTTTCTTTAAAATGTGCTCCTGCACCCTCACTCCCTATTTGGAGCCTATTGCCTTTGAACATGATTCTCTAAAATGTAACAGTGCTTAGAATTTGTGCAACTAAATTTTGTTTTTCATTTTAATAAAGTTTAAAACCAGAGAGAATTTAATATGTGAACTAAACAAGAAAAAGACCACTACATTCAGTCATTTAAATCATAAGCTTTCTCTCTCTCTTTTTTTAATTTATTGATTTTTAAAGATAGAGGGAGGGAGGGAGAGAAACATGAGTGTGAGAGTGCAACATGGATCGGCTACCTCCTGCACACCCCCTACTGCAACTTGCAATTCGGGCATGTGCCCTTGACCAGGAATGGAACCGGCAACTTCTTGGTGCACAGGACACCAAAACCGCTGAACCACACAGGGCTTATCAGTTTTGTAAAGGTAGTTGTGACTGCTATCTGTTATCTCTGACTGCTATCAATTAAATACAAAGAGTGTTAAACTTCCCTTTTTTTCTTTTTCATAATTAAATTTATTGGGGTGGCATTAGTTAATAAGATTATATAGTTTTCAAGTGCACATCTCTATGATACAACAATCTGTATATTGCATTGTGTACCCAACACCCGAAGCCAAGTCATCTTTCATCCCCATGTATTTGGCCCTTTCCCCTTTACTACTCCCTTTTCTCTTCCCTCTGGCAACCACCATACTGTTGTCTGTGTCTGGGTTTCAGTTTTATAGCCCGCATATGAGTGAAATCCTATGGTTCTCAGCTTTTTCTAACTTACTTATTTCTCTCAGCGTAATATTCTCAAGGTTCATTCATGTTGTCGCAAATAGCAGTCAGTATGTAATTTTTTCCCTATGGCTGAGTAATACAGTATTCCATTGTATATATGTACCATATCTTCCTTATCCAATTCTCTATTCAAGGACATGTCTTGGCCACCATGAAAAATGCTGCAGTGAATATAGGAAGTATATATAACTTTGCTAATAAATGTTTTCAAATTTTTCGGGTGGCTAACCAGAACAGGAATGGCTCGGTGTATGTTAACTCTATTCTTTTTCTTTTTTCTCTGTTTTAATCATTACCAGAGGATATGTTTTTATTGATATTTAGAGAGGGGAAGGTAAAGAGAGAGAGAGAAACATTGATTGGTTGCCTCCTGCATGCACCCCAATGGGAATGAACTCACCAACTTTTATGTACAGGACGACGCTCCAACCAACTGAGCCACCCAGCCAGAGTGTGGTAACTGTATTCTTAATTTTTTTAGGACCCACCAGAATGTTTTCCATAGTTTATACCAGTTTACATTCCCACCAGCAGTGAATGAGGGTTCTTTATTCTCCACAACGTTTCCACTACTTGTTATTACCTGTCTTATTAACAGTAGCCATTCTAACAGAAGTGAGGTGGTATCTCATTGTCGTTTTAATTTACATTTCCCTAATAGATAGTGAAGTTGAGCATCTTTTCATATGTCTGTTGCCATTTGTATATCTTGGGAGAGATGTCTGTTCAGGTCTTCAGCCCAATTTTTTAATTGGATTGTTTGTATAGTGTTGAATTCTTTTTGTATATTAGCTCCTTGTTGGAGCTGTGGTTTGCAAATATCTCCCATTCGGTTGGTTGCCTCTTTGTTTTATTGGCGATATCTTTTGCTCTAGAAAAGCTTTGTACTTTCCTTTTTATAGTGACATGGCTGGATTTTACACATAATTAACCATGTTGTTATTTATTAATTTAAGGTAAGAATTTTTTGTTATTCAAATTATTAGATTGTAAAACTCTCTCTCAGAAAGTCTTAAATGTGGAGTACTGAATTAAAGTAATTTAAACAGAGTTATCCAGAAACATATTTTGTACAGACAAAAAAAAAGCCAGGAAAGATTTCTGTTGTGTGTGGATATAAAAGCTTAAGAAGAAAATGTGCAAATGTTCAGTAAACATGAAGAGAAATTCTGTAGCATCAGGAACAAAAAAGAAGAGGGAAGAGGATACATAAATAGAATACTTGCTTTAATTGAATATCATAAGTAAAAGTGTGTAAGTCTTAGTGCATTCATAGTGGTGGCTGTGTTATGTACCTTGCAGTGTTGACACTAAGGATTACTTAGTGAACAAAACATCAATTAGCCCTGCTTTCATGGAACTCACAGTATAATGAGGGAGAAAGAAATGGAACGTGTATTAACCGTTAAATATGTGGGACATGAAGGAGAAAGTACAGAATGCTATGGGGTCTTACGGCAGGAATATCTATCTAATCCAACCCGGGGGCAGAGGTAGGGGATCCTTCTTAGAAGAAATAATTTTCTGAAGCCAGAAAAATGAATAAGAATAGCAAAGAGAGTGGTTTTCACTGTAGAGCTGTCAGCATGAATGAAGACTTGAAATAACTGGAGAACATGAAATATTTCACACAATGAAAACTGTTAGTATGTCTAGAAGATTAAATGAATAAGGGAAGATGATATAAAACTAAAGAATGAATGATAACTTTAGGATAAAAAGGAAAATAAAAATTATTTGAGATGAAGAAGGGGATATTTTGGTTTACTGTTAAATATATTCTAAATAGTTGGTTTTTCTTGGTTGCGGTGTATTCAGTTGTATGATTTTTAACACGTGTAGATTCATGTAACTACTGCTACAGTCAGAATACAGAGTAGTTCCATAACCCCCAAAAAGT